AATTTTATCAACCATTCTTTGCCTTTCCATTGAGCTAGCAATTAACTATTCAACCTCTACATAAAAACAGAAAGTTGGTTCTGGACTACTGAAGGGCAGAAAATAGGTAAGAAGAATAGTGGGGCTTCCCACTGGGAAAGAGAATCCAAGACTTTTGACAATTAATACAGGGAAGGGGAGATAAGCATTGAACCTGATGTCGGCAAAACTGTCCACATAGATACTAGTTATAGCATTGCACATACTCTCAGTACAGTGTAGACACTTCCTGAGCAAGGCATTAGACCCTGGTTCACACTGTTACAGCTCTTACTAACTGCTGTCATTGCTGTGTCTGTCCCACAACTAGTCTTCTATAAAACTCCTTTAGAGATTGACATTTTCATCTCTGTAGCCACAGCTCCCATCTCAGTGCTTATATGTGCAAACACATATACACATACACACACCTTTTTCTTTTTTTGATGGTGGTGGTATTGGGATTGTACCCAGGGTCTTGTACGTGCCAGACAAGTGCTCTACCACTAACCTACATCCCCAACTTTTTTTTTCTTTTTTTAAATGTTAAGACAGAGTCTTGCTAAGTTGCCCAGGCTGGTCTCGAATTTGTGATCTTCCTGCCTCAGTTTCCCAAGGCGCTGTGATTACAGGGATGTGTCACTACACTTCCACCACCTTTTAGAGGCAGGGCCTTGCTATGCTGCCCAGGCTGGTCTTCAACTTCTACCCTCAAGGGATACATACTCCTGCCTCAGACTCCAGAGTGCTGGGACTACAGGCATGTGCCACCATGTGCAGCTAGTGCACACTATCCAATAATTAAAGGTTAAAGACAGAACAAGAGAAGAAGAATACCTTAACTTTTTGTGGAAGCAGCAGAGTAAAACTCAGCTGGGCATGGCACACACCTGTGAACCCAGCTACTCAGAAGGCTGAGGTAAGAGGATGGGAAGTTTGAGGCCAGCCTGGGGAACTTAGCAAGACCCTGACTCAGAATTTAAAAAATTTTAAAAGGGCTAGGGATGTAGCTCAGTGGTAGAATGCTTGCCCAGCATGCACAAGGTCCTGGATTCATCCTCCAGTACCCTGCCAAAAAAGGAGGAGGAGGGGGAGGAGCAAGAGAAAGAGGATGCTGCTTTGAAACTTAACATTTTGGAGGACATAATGCTCTGTCTTCAGTCCTTGTTATTCCCAAGTCTGATACAGCCTCCCTCCTTAAGCCACGAACAAAGGGTTACCATACAGGGCACACATGTGGGGACCACATCCTGAAAACTTACATACCAAGGTTACCTTATAGCTCTTAGTCAAAATGTCTCCTCCAATATTCACTTAAGCAGAAAGCTGTTTTCCAGAAAGCTATTTTTATCTTAAAACACATGAAAAGAGTATCTTCTACCTTCTGAAAACTTCATACCAAGGTTCCCTGACAAGGAATTAAAAAGTAGAAAAGTGAAACCAAAACTGACTACAAAAAGCTACACACTAGATGTGTTCAGAATCTGTGTGGGGGATGTACATGTGTGACATTCCTTGAAATGTTAAGAGGGCAAGAATCATGAACTATGTTCCAGAGTGCATAGCTCTACTGTGGAGCCTTAGAAAGGATTCAGCCAAATCAAGAATGCTTCTGTTTAGTATTTGTTAGGTAGACATTTAAAAACCACCCTAAAAGACACGAGTTGGATGCATTTTTTTTTTCTGATTATAGATGAGAAACTTGGGATCCTAAAAAATGTCAGTTGAATGAGAATACAGAATTGAAATTCCATCATGCTCCACCTGCTATAGTCAGATGGGTAAACCTCCTCTTGCCTATTATTTGCCAGGTACCAGGCATATTCACAGACATATCTCAGTTAATACTCATTTCCACCCTGCAGAAAAGTTCTAGCCACCCCATTCCAGAGCAGCAGACAGGAAAGCTTAGGAAAGTAAAGCCACCTGTAGCTCTTCCATGTCCTCTACCACCTACCAATTTTGCCTTGGGTAGAGGCAATTTCTTCCCCTCTAAGATATCCTAACAATTGAACACATATTTTAGGACCAAATCAAGACATTTTGCCATAGGGCTACTCAGCATCTCAGAGTGGGTGGCCATGGATTTTAAAGCCAGCTACAAAGAAAATGGAATCCCCTTGGCACAGTCACCAGGCAGGCCACTGGGCTTGCTCACACTGTCTTCTGTCCCCCAAATACCATATTTCCCCCACCAAAGTCAGCCCTGGTCAGACTTCAGGAGTTAAAGCCTTTCTTGTTCTGGAACAGACCATGTTCATGATCCCTAGACCACTTCTCAGAACTGGGTGAAAAATAACCACAACTTCCCCTGCACTTGGTTCCTCCCCAAAGACTGTGAACCTCAGCTGGAAACAGCTGGGAGGCAGCAGCTAACAGGAAGCCAAACCAAAAAAAAAAAAAAAAAAAGCACAGAGTGTACCAGGGAGAGTTAGGCAGCTAGAACAAAGAGGCTAGGGGACAGCCAGGACACTGAAGTTAGGAAGGACCCAAGACAGAAAAAGTCACACAGAAGAGCAGTTCCAGCTGACATTCCTCTCAGCTGAAGTAAAGAAGAAACCAGGAAAAGCAGTAAAGGCTCTGACCCCACTGAACAGGAAGTCAGACCAGCTCTGAAGCTGAGTCTCTTTCCTCCCTGTCCCCCACCTCAACCTTACTTCTCTGAAAGTCATCTGGTAATCATAGCAAAAGAGCTGAAGTCAAAAACTGCCTTTTCCCTAGCTTTTCTGTCAATCTCTACCAAAATTCCACACTGCCAACTAAGTTCAGGAAAAGCCAAATTGAGCCTCACACAGAGACGTAGAGTATCTTCATGAAAAATTAGTAAGCAGATCCCAGCAGGGGACCTTTGGTGGTGGACAGACCTAGGTGGCAGTAGAAGGAACTCAGGCATAAGGAACAGCAAGAAAAGCAAGAGCTAGGGGAGCTAGAAGCTCTGAAAATCAAGGTAAGCACCAAACTAGTGGTGCCTTTTACAATCAAAAAAGGTAACTGAGCAGTGGCCAGTTGCCAAAATATTTTTGAAAGAAATGAAGGGGGGGAAAAAGCCATTACTGAAATTCTTTGGTGTTATTTAATAAGCCTTTAGGTTATCTAAACAAAGGGCAAAGGGGAGACTAGCTTAATTTTCCTTTTGCTGAGCTGACTTGAGGCTTTCTAGCCTGCACCTCTTGTGACTCAAGCATCATTCTTTCACTGTACATGCAGAAGTTTATATTAAAGTAAAGAAAAGGATTAAGTTTTCTTAATAAGACACATTCCTGTCTTTCACCTCTGGTTTTGTTTGAAAAAGCTTTCTCAAAGATTATGCTCTGATCTAGTTGCTTTAATTCCAATGGAAGTTCTCAAAATTTGAGACTGAAGGGTGAACAGAACTGCAACATCAATGCCATTTTTTTTTTTAAACAGAACATCTTCTAGGCTCAGTGCCAGCTCAAACTGGCAAGACCTGAGAATCAGAGCATAGACTGGCCAATGTGCCACGTCAGGGGGATAGGATAAAGAAATATGGAACAAGCCATCAGGGAAACCTTCATAAAAGGAAACAGGGGTGAGGGGTCTGTCTCAGGAACATAACAAAGGAACAGGTAGACTAATCATTTATTCCAGAGGAAGAAAATGCCATCCAGAGCTAAGTATATAGCATTTTAAATTCAGGTAAATAATGTTTTAACTTGGATTTATTCAGGGATCACTACTCTTTAAAAAAAAAAAAAAAGGAAGAAAGAAAAAGAAAAAAGTCTTTCATGCCAAAAGACTGCTTAAATCCAAGAGTTTGAGACCAGCATGGTTACACAGCAAGGTACCTTCTCAAAAATAAACAAATAAATAAATAAAGGAGAGGGAACTATTTCTGCTCTTCTCTCCAGTGTTACTGGAGTCTCATAGGAGACTTTGCCTGTGCTGCCTGTGAAGCAGAGCTAAGTGAGCCAGGGCCACTGCATTTACTAATGCAAGAGATTCAATTCTGTAGGGTCCCCATGGGGGGGGGGTGGAGGAGGTTCTGTGCAAGGCTGGGCTGTTCAGGCCAAGACAGCCAGGGCAAAGAAGTTCTATGATTGAGTGAGAAAAGTCACCTGAAGCAAATGCCTAACATATAACCTGAGTAAGGGAGAGAAGAGTGGAAAGACTTCTTAACCCTTGAGAGGCAGGTATTTCTTTCTGTGACTTTGAAAAAAGAGATGTCTGCTCAAAGCCAAATCCACATGTCAGGATGGTATCTGGGATGTGTGCCCTAAACACTGACATCTACCTCATCTAATGTTTCAGGGACACCCAGAAAACCCTTCAACTTGCCAGGAGAACAGACTGCACCTCCAACCGCTGTAGCTCCAAAAGTCTTCCTAGGAGCACCCAGGGCCCTCCCCAAGGGCTACCCAACAAAATAGGTTGTGAGGAGGCCCAGACTCCAGGTGCACGGACAATACCAAAAGTAGCTAACATTAATGGAGCTGTACAGGGCTGTAATAAGCGCTTCATCTATCCAATCCATCCCCACAATAGCCCCCTGGAGGCAGATACGACCGTCATCTCCTCTTTATAAAGAAGGAACCAGGCTCCAAGGTGTTACACAATCATTAAATAGTGGAGCCAGCGCCCCAGACACCCTGGACAGGTGGTCTTAATCACCGCTAGGTATTGTTGGAAACACACAAAGAGTTTGGGGGAAGGGGTCGACAGAGCTGGGCAACACAAGGTGCAGCCTTACTACAACAGTTTCTGGTCCGAGATCGGTGGCTCCTGGAACACTGGAGGCGGGGGTGGGGGGGTGCCTTGATGGGGAATGTGAAGCCGGAAGAACCCAGGCACTGATGACAGGGGAAGCGGCCAGGACCGTGGCGCCTCTCACAACGTTGGGACTCCCTCCCAAAGGGAAAGCGTGGTGCCAAAGGGACCCCGAGGGTCCCAGCCCTCCACGCTCGTTTTGTCTAAGGAAGGCCCCGGTGAGAGACGGGGCCCGGCCGGATCCGCGAGGGTCGCACCTGTAGGCCAGGGTCATGCACTCGAAGAGCTTGGTGAGCGAGGCGTCGATGGACAGGTGGCAGGAGCTGGTCTTGCCGAAGCTGTAAGTCTGGCACGTCTGCTTGTTGACCGTGTCGAAATCGTAGCCCTTCTTAGGCGGGTGCTCGCGGTGCGGCGAAGACACCATGAAGTGGCCGCTGTGGATGATCTGCTGGGGGCGCGGGGGCTCCTCGCGGCCCGGCCC